CAGCTCTCCACAAAGACTTGTGCAACTCAGCCTCCTGAAGCCACTTCAGATTTTTGACACTACACATACAAGAGGATGTCTAGTGTCTTCTTTTACCATGTCTCTATGGCACAGATAACTTCTAAACCTCTTTTTTTTTTCCCCCCATACTTTGGTAAATTCTTGTTCTTCTTGAAACTCACAGCCTTGCAGATCCCATCTCAGTGTAACCACATGGGAAGGAAACATCTCCAGAAGAGCAGTGTGGTTGGTTTCTCATTGCCAAATGTGTGCTTTAATTCCCCTCCACATCTTACCTATGGCTTTGATGAGTTCATTTCCCCAGAATGTCTCTGGCCACACTTCACCTTGTGTCCAAAGTCACAGATGCAGCATGGCTGAAGGGCTCTTGGAGGAGACCTAAAGACCTTGATCTAGAAAAGGCCAATATCCTACAAATGCAAAGGGACTAACAAGACATTTCAGCCTGCTCAGGCAAGCTCTGCAGAGCAAATTCTCAGAGGCACCCTTCCCACAGTGAGAAGAAAAAACCAAGAAGTGAACATGTATCACCCCCTTCCTCATGGGACCAGGCTGACAGACCAACTACCAAGTTTCCCACAGATATGGCATCTTCACAGGTAACTTTTCATTCTCCAAATTCAACAACAATCAAGGAAATACCTAATCAGACATCCATCACCAGCAACCAGCTGCTAAAGGGTCCTAGAAGCTTCATCCATGAGCCACAGTTTCCTCAGTGGAGAAAGGCTATTGCAGATTGTTTGTCACAAAAGGCAGCGTGAGCATCTGACCACTCCTTCTCCTGAGAAATATGAAGCTACTCTGTCATATCCAGCATCTCAAACACACATTTCCTCTCATCTCTTCCAACCTAGGGCTATCAGGCATAACTAGGAGGCTGCAGTTGTACCTCTGCTTTGACTGAGATAACTCCAGTGAAGCAATTATAACATTGTGCATTCAGCTGCTTAAATGCTCTCCACAACACAAAGGTTGAGTTATCTCTTGCAAAAAAAGAGATTCCTCCCTACGAATGAAAGTGTTGTTAGAAAGTAAAAAGCTATCAGGAAGGAAGTTTTGCTCCTCAAACATCAAGGAAAAGATCAGTTTGGACTTCCTAGCAAAGGCTAGATCCCCTCCAAGGGAGCTGAACTCATCTTCAGTGTGTCCTGTGGTGTGAAAGAATTGCTACCATCAGCAATGGGAATGCTGCCTGCCTGTCCTGTCACCTCAGTGCAGTGAGGCTTCAACAGCTACTGAACAGCTACTGATACTTACCCAGCAGTGGAGGAGCCTCCATGGTTATATGGATTAAACACATACTGAACAGACCTAATGAAGCTCCCTTTCAGGCATTTCCAGGGGCTGCTTCCCTGGAGAGCCATTAAAGTTGTCAGCAAACCAGCCAAAAGGAGCTCAATCCTCCCAACATGGTCCTCTGTCTCCAGTGTTCCAGAAGGATGAGGTGGGATTAATATCTCTTCACGGGAATTTCCTACTGAAACTTTCATTTGAATCTGCCTATTAACACACATTTTTGTTTTCTTCCAAATCTTTTTCCACAAGATATTGTAAGCCATGGATGTTTCAGGGAACTTTGATACTACTGTGAATACACAAAGCCTTTTTTTTCATATTTTTGCCGCTGTCTTTACAGGTCTGAAAAGCCACATCATCCCTTCTCAGAATTTCAGAATGGATTGCATTACAGCATAAATATCCTACTATGTTGACTCTGTTACATATTGCTCTTGAAAGATTGAGACTGGTTCTTCTGGGGTGCAAATTTTATCCTCTCCTAGCTTCCAAAGCACAACCCATTAGAAACTTTTTCAGACACCAAGTTTGATTTGTGAGACACTATGTAGGTTCAGCAGGACCTGGAGGGTTTGTGTTCTTCACAAGTAGATCCCAGTAAGCCTCACTGCCACCTGCCCAGGCAGAGCACAATTCCCAGGAACACAGTTACCTTATCCAGTGCTGTGCCCTCTGAGATTTTAAGTATCCCTCCATTGAATAATCCTGGCTTTTTTCCCAGAGACTTCCCTACCTAGGATTCTGACTTCATGTTGGCACAGGCTTTGACTTCCTCTTTTGTCCCTGTAGGGGCTCTGAGAATGCTCGCAGGTTTGCAGCAAGGGAAGCAATTTATCTGTTTTAAAAAATGATGCTCTGGTACTCACTGAATAAGACATGAATGAGATGTATGCAGGCAACAATATTCTGAGGAGGTTTTCAGACATGTTTCAGGGATCACTGGGTCGTTATCCTACTGAATTTTTACTTGGGCTTCTAGAACCTTCTCTTCTCTTTCTTGGACTCTTCTGCTCCTCAACATCTCTGTTGCCCTTTTAAATATAGTGACATAAAAAGAAAGAAAAAAAATACCCAAACAGTTCTCATTGCACTGAGTGTCTTTACACGCGTGCATTCTGCCTCAGATATTTCTTTCCCACTCAGCCCGCAGGTTCCCTTCTGTATCACTCTAAATATGGCCTTGCACTTGTGATTTACACTTCAGATCCCTTTTCTGTACGAGGGAAACTGCTCAGAGCATCACCTCTGGCTGATGTCCCTGCTGTGGACCTTTCCCATTCAGAATGTTCATGCTACTCATGCCCCAAAGGAGAAGGGCAGGACAGAAGGCCTGAAGTTCCTTTGCAGGTTAAACCCCATGCAGGAGCAGGGACAGCTGCAAATTAAACACTACAGCCAGGAGTGCTTTCTGCTCAGTGGTGTAGCTTCTGCAAAAGCTCTTCCAGAGACATCAAACAGATGAGGGTTTGTTTTTCCAAATTGTTCTGAGATTTGTAGAAATGAAATCCTGTCCACTTCCGATGGGCAATAGACACTGGCTTTAATTCCAAGTGCTTGTCACCACACCTCCATCTCTGGGAACTGATGTGACCACTGCATTCTCAGGTGCCAGTTGCCTGTCCTTGTTGTCCTAAAATTGGCCTTCCACATCACTGGCAAGGCTGAAGATTCTTGGATAATCTAGCAATAGCTTTCTCAGCTTTAGAGCTTGGAATGGCCACACTTGAAAGTTCCAGTAAAGGGTTCTCAGATACCTGTGCTCAGGTCCATGGGGTGCCCCTTTTGCACAGGTGGTAGGATTTATCTCTTTTCTGAAACCTTTAGGGATATCCAAAAATGAATTCAGCAACCCAAAGCTGGGGGTTGATTTTCCCCCTCCTGAGCTCACACGCTGTGCACAAGCATGGCAGGAACCTCAGCCCACAGTGCCACAGTTTGTACAAATCCCACCTGCCAGCATTAGCAGAACCTTCCCTGTGCTGCTTTTGAGCCTCTGCCATAGGCAGTGATATAATTTGGAACATTTTTGACCACATCTTAAAACACAGCCCAGCTAGCTCAGGGAATAGGAGAAGAAATGAATGACAATGAAAGCACAATATCCCACAGCACCTCAAAAGGCTTCTTCAGCCTGTCAGTCACAGATGCACAAACACCATCAGCCAGGAAGGATGGAGAATCCCAAAAATTTTCAGGCCTCCTTCAGTTGTTTTGAAGGACCTTTGTACCTTCCACCAGGAATGCAGCAAGCAGCAGAATAAGGGTCCTTCTGCTGTTAGAAAAGGTGATTTGCAGAACTAGAAAGAGGAAGGGGGATGGGACAGAGAAATGTTTTGCTGGAAAGATATTTGCCTAGCAACACAAAATCAAAATCCATGCCTGACCTGTAAGAAATGTCTCTATGGGCACTGCTTCTTCATTTGGTATTCAAGCCAACTTTTGCCTGTATGTGATCTGAAAACACAAGAGCAAACATGTGAAAGAGGAGGATGAAAACAATGAAAGCTGACACTACCAAACCAATGAATTAACCCAAATTATTAAGTGAGTTGGTGTATCTTGGGTTTGTAATTGCTCTCATTTGCCCATATCACCAAAATAGGCTGTGCATCCAAACTACAGGGGTTTTTTTAGGTAATACAATGCCAGTTTGATTACTGCAGCATCCTTGGAGAGCAGGAGCATGCTGCAGGAGTCCTCCATGGCACTAGAGGGGAATTCTGACACTGGCAGAAGAAGAAATACATCAGTTCCCACTTTGCTAAAGTAGCAGACAGGTTTGGCATATGGTAGAGGTTAGACCTGAAGGATTATGCTGCTATTGAACTGAAGGACTCCTAATAAAGACAGTTTCATTTAATTTAAAATTCTGCTTCTTACACCTAAGGATACTTGCAGCCTTGGGTATATTTTAGAATTGCTCTCAGTACTGGAAATGGCCCCAGAGGTTAATCAAGGAATATCAGGCAGAGTGTCTGCAGCAATTTGACTCTTCCAGGCGTGACCAGGGCTGGGCTCAGCTCAGCCTGGCCTCCAAGAACACATCCATTGAGTGCCTAGGGCTTTGCTGTGAGGTGGGTAAATGTAGAGTGAGCTCATTAGCTGCACCAGCCCACATTCCACAGCTGGTGCTGGGTGTTGCAGGGCTGCCAAGAGCCAGTTAGACTCTCCCAACCCATTGCCTCACTCAGAACTGTGTGTAAGGGAATGGGGATATATATAAAGAGAAAGTGTTGCTTTAGCTCTGGGATATTATGGGTTTACAAGTCAGATGGATGCACTGGAAGCTGGCTGGTCCCTGTGCAGACATGGCCTGGATCTGAGCTGGAGAGCCAAATCAGCCCCTGTATTGAACTCACAGTGCTGATACAAGAAACATTTTACCAGCACAGTGCCTCCACTGCCAGGGTGTCCAGCACTCAGGAGACACTGGGTGGCTCACATGTGGTGGTAGTGGAGAGAGCTGACATCAAATTCAGAGGCAGTTGGACCCACTTCTGCCACAGCCAGCCTTGATCCTGGGCAGCCTAGGGAATAAGCCCAGCCTCTTGTGCATTTCTTTCAAATTCCCTTTTGCCCTCTTCTGCCATTTGTTGCTCCTGTGTTAGCCAAGACCTAGTTTACTAGGGCTCTTGATTGGAGACTTATTACAGCTTATTTCTGTCTGCCTTTCTTTAAAGCCAGCTGAACATACCCAATGCTCTTCCTCTATGGTAAGACCAAAAATACAGACCACCCTCCCAGCTTCTGTGACACTCTTTCTAACACACTCCTTTTTTCTCTTCTCCGTGATCACAAGTTCTCTCTCCAAGCCCAGCCTAGTTATTTGTGCATGAAGCTGCCATGTCATGTATTGGTGTGAGTCTGGTGTTCACATGAGCTGTGAATATGCTGCACATGTGTATCTCTTGTGCATCCTGAGCTTTCCTATGGTCAAGTTAACTGTTGTTCTGCCTTCTAATGAACCACCAAGAGAGAACTGGACCTGGTAAGATTTCTTGTTAGCCACAAACGATGTCCCTGTGTCACTATCAATGTGATGCTGAATGAGTCTGCAGTGTGACTTCATGTCCAAGGCTCCAGAAAAGAAAAGGCTGGGACTCTGAAGTTCCTCTTCAATGAGGTGATTCATTATAACCCTTGAGTTCATATTTTGCACAAAAAAGAGAAACTGGTGCAATGGTGCACAAAGCACTGCTGCCTTGGTGTGCGAGGCAGTTCCCACACCACCCCCACAGAGCTCCCGTTTCTGGACTGCCACTCTGCAGAACCTCCCTCCTCTGGCAAGGATACGCCTTCAAAAAGCTGGATGAAAGCCAGGGGGAAGTAAGCAGGGCTACTCAAGCATCAGCTAATCTACAGCCACCTAGTTTTGAGATGACTGTAATCTGCTGAGGCATCGCTGAGTTTTTGGCTAAGTGGTTTGATGCCAGTAAGTTGCAGATTTGCGTCAGGGAGGGATTTGTTCTATTTTATCTGCTGCTTAGACTTCGCCTGCTCCAGGACACTGGGAGGGCAGAGATAAATTTCTGCCTACATTAGCTGCCTCCTCTCAGCAAGGAAGGACAAAGGAATACTAAAACCTCTGTCCAGTCCCATGTCCCAGCTTGCTGCCACCTGAAGAGCCAAGCCAACCAGAAGAACAGCAGGTAGAATAAGAAAGCACTGGTTTTTTAGTCACAACCACAGCATGATTGCTGTCCATACAGCCTCTAAATTTGGACCTCAGCTCTGTTTTAGATGGTATTAGTGCTTCTACAGGACTGGAAGAGGTATTTGACCTTACAGTTATCCCTCTGGGACTGCAGCACTGAGAGTATTCAGTGCCATGATTTTTGATTCCTTGGAGGCCACATTCCCTCCTTCACCTCAGAGCAACTCCCTCCAATCTGCTGAGGCACACAGCCTGATGTCCAAGTAATCAAACAAGGATGATGTGAGGTGCAGGAGGCACTCAGGCTTTTCATGACACAGCCTGTTTCCCCAATCTTTTTCACCCAGTTACTCCACGGGCAGCCAGTGTCAGCCTTTGGTACAGCCTGGAGGAAGTTACCTGGTGACAGACACACCACAGACAGACAGACAGACTGCAGCTGGGTGCAATCCTGATCTGTTCCACATGCTGCTGAGCTCTCTGTGCGAGCAGGGGTCACACCCAGCACACAGCTACAGCCCCTACAGTGTAGGGACAGGGACAGAGCCGAGCACCACTCAGCTCACCCTGGCTCAGCAACAGGCGCACACCCAGGCATACATCTACATCTGGGCATTTCATCCCAGAAACATCCACCCAGGTGCTCCTGTGCCTCGGCTTTTATCAAAAGCAGACAGGCAAGCAGCTGCTGTTTTCACTGCCCAGTGACAGGAAATCCAAAGGGTCTGTTCTCTCTTGGTTTACACAGTGGTGAGTAGTTAACAGCAGGGGTGATCTGCACTGTTTCTTCCTCCTAAATGTTGCTCTTTTGGTGGTGTTTAGACTCAAACTGCAGTCTTTGCAGCCTGGGTGGGGACAGAGGGAGGGTTTCCATGCACTTTGCTCCACAGCAGGTCAAGTGGCAGGGTGACAGTGTTATCTCCCCCTGTGACAGGAGGTCACATTCCCACAGTGCTGCTACCGGAAGGCACCAGCTCCACAGGCTTGGCACAGTATTTTAGGGGCTTAATAAACTGGAAAACTTGGCATTTGCTGTGCCCTTGAGCTAGGCAGCAAGTCCTCTGCCAAGGCCAGGTGAGCCTGCTGCTGCAGCAGCCTTCAGATGGATGCTGCCTTCACACATGTGAAGGCTGAGGAACGTCAGAGCTGGTTACAACCCCAGGGGAAAATGCTTAGGGACAAAGCAGATGCTGTGAGAAAAAACAGGCCAGAAGAAAGACTATTTTAAAATACTCCACGCTCGAACAGTAGCAGCGAAGCCAAAATAAAATGTTTTTAAAAAAACAAAAGCCAGTGCGCAGACTGTGGGAAATACAAAGGGGTCATGAGAAATGAGGAAGGCCCAGCAGTGGGAGCGAGTGACCAGGGCCAGCCTGCAGGAGCACGGCCACAGCAGCACAGGGACAGCCAGGCTGGCAGTGGTGCCAGTGAAACCAGCACACAGCGTGGGGTGCCCCCGTGGGGTTTTGCAGCCAGGGGCAAATCTGGGACCTGTTTCCCAGAAGAGAAAGCAGCACATGCAGGTCACCAGACACCACATTCACCAGAACTGAGGCACTCACTGGGGTGAAACACTCAAGACAGGCCAAAAGGGAAAGTGCCTTTCTCCTCCAGTGCAAGGTCAAAGGGGAATTGCCTCTTTCCGATGCGAGGAGATGTATTGGAGGGGCATGAGCATATCCTATCCCTAACCCCTGAAAGCCCAGGCCAACTGAAGGGAGAGGCTGCTGGCTTTGAGGAGCCCCACAGAGCAGCCTCACCACCACGGGAGACAGGGCAGCCTTGGCCTGTCCCTGGGGTGCCGGGGAGTGGAAGCCCAGGGAGCAGTAGCAGGACAAGGAACAGTGCAGTGAACCCTCGGCGTAGCCTCCTCTGTGGCCCAGGGCCCTCGTTGCTCTCGTGCTGTTGTAACTCCTGCCTCTGTGCCAATGGCTTCCAGAACGCAGAGGAAAACTCTCGCATCTCAATCACCTTCTTCCGACTCTTCCGCGTGATGCGTCTCGTGAAGCTCCTGAGCCGAGGGGAGGGCATCCGGACACTGCTTTGGACCTTCATCAAGTCCTTCCAGGTACTCCTTCACTTATCTCTAAGACCTAACTCCTTTTGATTTCCCTCGGTGGCCTCTCGGGGAGAGGTTTCACCCCAGAGCCTGAGCTCAAAGGTGCCAGGGAGAGATGGCACAAATGAGTCAAGGAAATGGAACTTGCAGGGAATGACTGCCTGGGTATGAGTTTCATCTTTAAAGCATGAGTAATTGCTTGAGACCCTCCTGAACAGCCTTAATAGTTCAGTTCAACTCAATTACTGCCTGTCTGTAACCCTTCGATCTCTTTTTTTTTTTTTTTTTCCTTATTTGAGCTGTATTTCATATGTGTAGCTCTAAGTGAAATGCACAGCTATGGGGGGAAGGCCTGTGTCTCAATTAAGGTTCCTTTAAGCCTTGTTTTGAGGATTTCCAGTGAGTATTAGAGGTGTGTGGCCTCCATACTTTCATCCAGGAAGAATTCACCTTTTTAGCCCTACTCTTTTGAGCTGGTAACAATGCCAAGGTATTAAATTGCTGCTGCTTTTTTCTCTGGAGACAGGTTGCATTTCAGTGGCAGGTAAAGTTCCAGAGTAGATAGGAGGAAGTGAAGAATATCAGACTGGATAAGAATAATCACCTTTGGAGGAAAAAACCCACCCATTTATTTGCTAGAAAAAATGTATCCACATATAGTAAAATGATAGTTAGAGATAAAGCCTGGCATATTCCTGCATTTTAAAAGTACTTGACCTGTATTTCCTGGACCAGCACAACCTGGATGTGAGCTGGGGCTTATCCAAAGGAATCAACAGGGAAATACAGCACAGGAATACAAACGGTGGTCTAAACATGAGCAAATATGCAGAACACACCACTGGACAAAAGCATGAAAGAGTAACTTGTGCAACACACAAGTCTTGAAACAGCACCTATATAGCCCTCAGACTGAGGCTGTAAGTGGTTAATGGCTTTGGTATTGGCTCAAATGGGAAAGGAACTGACCCATACCTTAAAACTTAAACCTCACCAGCAACAACACAAGCTGGGACCAAAGCCTGCAGTGCTGCAGCTCATTGCAACTTCTGTCTCTTCTCAGCAGAAGTAGCACACGTGCACACCAGAGATCAGCACGGACTAATTCCAGTGCAGCTCTCAGTGGTCCCAGAAGCCAGACCACCAAAGGACTCATTCTGCACACTCCCTGACTGCCAGAGGAGCTAACCCTGCACAGCAGGTTTCTGGCACATCCATACCACCGTGACTTTTTCCATTGCTTGCAGAGTGGCCAACTTCCAGGTTGTTATTTGAGCAGTGCCACTGGGAACCATTTTGTTTGCATGCGTAGGAATGAGATTCCCTTGGCACAGCTCAGCCAGCCCTGATGCAGGGGACACAGTCACACTTTCCAGTCCCTGCCTCTCCTCCCCTTGCCCCTGTGCCCCTCCAGCCTCTCTGGCAGCAGCTTGCCCTGAGCTGAACTTGTCACGGCTCATGGCTGGAGAGGAGGAGATGGATGGGAAAGGGAGCACCTGGTACTTCCCTCCAGGGACTTCCAGACCTCTTCAACTGGAGAGTCACTTCAGGCAGGGCTGTAGGGTGGTGGGAGAAAGGATGAAAGGAGGGATCCTCCTCAGCAGGGGAGGGGGAAAAAACAGCAGCACTGCAAGCAAGTGCCTTTTCCCTTGAAAGCCTTTAGCCATTTATAACATGGAATTCTCTGCTCCAAGCTCCTCCTGTTGCAGCTACCGGGAAGCTCCTTTGGTAGCTGAGAATAGCCACTGTGCTGCTCTTGATCCAGCCACTCCCGCTGTCAGAATGTGGGATCCCAGCAGACTTTGGCACAGCCTCTTCAGAGTCCCCTCATGCTTCCAGGAAGCCTCTCTGCTCACACGGGGCAGCCCAACAAGCAAGGAACCCATGGAGTCAGATCCCATGGTCACTGCCACGTGCCCTGGGCATGGCATGGAGCGCTGACTCCGGGCTGGGGCTCCAGGCAGAGCGGTGGGAAAATGCTCCACAGGGTTTCCGTCTGCACAGACAGCTACAGAGTCAGCCTGGGGACTGGGAGGAGTAGGAAGTGAGAGGGTGCTGAGGGCACGTCAGGGCCGTGGGAATGACAAGGACAAAGTGGTGACGCCAAGGAAGGACAGAGCCAGAGGAGGACTGAGACAGAAATGTGGAATACGGGAAGCTGAAGGAGCCGTGGGGAGCAAGGGGCAGGGATGAGCAGGAAGGTGCGTTAGTGGAGAGGAATGGACTGAGCAGAACATGAAAAGGAAGTGAAGGCAGAACGGCAGGCAGACAGGACAGAAGACACTTTCCCATCCACATATGGATGGGAAAACAGAAGTATTGTCAGAAAACAGAAGTGCTGTTAAGGTTATACACCTCAGGTCCTGTCTGGACACTGTCCCAGGAGCTTTTGGGTATTGTGTGTATCAAGTCCCCCCTAAATCATCACAAAATGTTTGGAGCCCAGTTCTGAGCTGGTGGTCTCTTCAGTGACATTGTGAGGTAAACATACTGATTTGTCTGGCCCCCTAAAAAGCCAGAGGAATCTGTCCTGAGACTCAAGGTGATGATTACAGACACTGTCCAAAGGATTTGATTATTTTTTGCCATTTTAATATTTAGATCTCTTTGAGATGATTTATGCAGATCTTAGTCAAATCTCCATGGTGGCCAGTGAAAATATTCCCTCGTTTTTTCCTGCAGGATTCAGTTGTGTTGAATTTAGGATTACAGAAGGGTTTGGGTTGGAAGGGACCTTAAAGATCACCAAGTTCCAACCACTCTGCCATGGGCAGGGACACCTTCCGCTAGACCAGATTGTTCAGAGCTCCAGGCAACCTAGCCTTGAACACTCCCAGGGATGGGGCAGCCACAGCTTCTCTGGGCAACCTGTTCAGGTCTCACCCACCCATATAGTAAAGAATTTCTTCCTGATATTTAATCTAAACCTGCCCCTTCTCCTATCACTGCATGCCCTTGAAAAAAATCCCTTTGTGTCTTTAGTGTAGGCTCCCTTTAGGCATTGGAAGGTATCCTAGAGTCTCTCTGGAGCCTTCTCTTCTCCAGGCTGAACAACCCCAACTCTCTCAGCCTGTCTCCATGGCAGAGGTGCTGCAGCCCTCTGATAATGTTGTAGGCTCATTATATTCTGTGAAATTGGGTGTTCAAAATCTAGATCAGGGACTGTGCTCACATTTTCAGAGTGAATGTGTCCACCCATTTCCTCTGAAGCAAGGTCTGAAAGCCTCTGGTCTGAGCACTAGATATTTCAAAAGATTCCTGCTCAAAAGCCTGAGCCCATGAAGTCCCAAGCCCTTAATTCCTGTCAGTGGTGGGGGAAACCAGGAGCACTCAGCACTTGGCCGATTGCACTGACCCCTTCCTTGGGAGGCAGCTCTGCATATCTGGGCTCTGCATTTCCTCTTCAGCAGCTGATCAGTGACACTCGAGCATGGCAGACACCATCAGGGACACCTGACACCGAGCAGGAAGGTGCTGATGCTGCTTTAGCTACTTAGGGTGGTAGCAGAAGCCTTGAATTAAGATTCCACCAGCACCTTTTATTCCACCATCCTGGATGCAGGGAAACATCACACTGCCATTAGCGCCAGCGTACTGCTGGCTGTGAGAGCTTTCTCCTCCTGGTAAGCAGGTGTAGACAGTGGTTTACCTCGCTTTCTTGGCTCGGTCAAGGGCGGGAGGCAGCGGAGCTCCATCCATCCATCCATCCCCCATGGCACAGGCTGGGCGGGCAACCAAGCGTGGGTCTGTAGAGGCATCTAGTGGCCACTGCCCGCACTACAGAGCCACGCTGGGGCCAGCCTCACCCCTGTTCCAAAGCCAGCGGCACCGACCAGGCTCAGACACAGCGCTCTCTTTTTTTCTTTCGTTTCCAGGCTCTCCCCTACGTGGCTCTTTTAATAGTGATGTTGTTCTTCATCTACGCTGTGATTGGGATGCAGGTAAATGATGCTTAAAGAGCTCGGGGGTGTGTGTCTGTCTTCTGCTAGAGCATGGGAACATGATCTAGTGTAGCTAGATCAGTGTGTGGTTGTGGGGGCTTACAGCAATGTTTTCACCCAGTAAGGTGAGATGAAAGCTAACCTTGGCTGGAGAACCTCATCTGACTGGGTACTTGCAGAAAAAAAAAGCAAGCAAATAAAAAAATTGACCCCATAAGGGCAGAACACAATATGCAAACAGCAAAAGGACCATGCCTGCCCTCCACATTTTCAAAGTTCCAAAGGAATATCCACAAAGATTTACTGCCTTGCTTGTTGGTCCAAAACAGTTTTTTAAGCGGGCTTATGGCCATGCTGCACTGAGCAAACCGAAATGTTCTCTTGCATCTCTTTCACACTGGCATAACTTCCACTGAGTTGTAAAGAGCAGCTTTTGATCTACACCCATGAAGGTAAATATGGGATCAGACCCAATGTACCAACACTCACATCAACACAACATCTTACTCAGTTTGCAAAGTGCACTTGGAATCATCCTGAGCATTCACCTGTGCAAGGAACTGATGTTGCACAGACACCACTGAGGACAGCACGGGATATAGGCACAGCCTGTGACAGTCCCAGCCTCATCTGCTGTGCTGCTTTTCAGGCTAAGCTTCACTTTCCACTTCCATGTTAATCAAAGTTCCCAGACAAGTCAGCCAGCTGGGATCAGAGGCCACAGTATGGAAAGGCACGGCATAATTGCTTCCAGAGGTCCTCAAACATGACAGGCTTCTTGGTTTCACAATGGCAACAGAATTTGTAATGAAATTCATCTGACCTCTGTGACCTTGTTTTAATTTGTTTCCTGTTATTATAATAACATGTTTTCTTGGATTATCACAGGTTATCTCAACAGCCCCAGTAATCACAGCTGTCATTTACTCTACTAAGCTCGTACTGTAAACTTGCCAGTTTTGCCTTTAATACTTAAGATGGCCAAGATCTTACAGAATTAGCTGTGCTATACAGAAAATCACTTCAGAGTATTAAGCTGATATTACATCGCTCTACAAAGCATTATAAGTGACTTCCAAGCAGCCACACAGATGGGATCTACAATGGTCAGGACACTGCCAGGGCCAGAGGCTTATTCTGTTATTCTACTCCTTTTTTTTCAGCTAGGTCTAGGTTACCTATTTAACCTTGGTTCCCATTCAAGCTTCTGCTTAAATCATCTCAGCAGCCTGAAGATCATACATCTGCCTTTCACATTGATCTAGATTACTAGGTCACTTCATGCCCTCATGTCTTCCAATAAGAAAACCAACTTTTTTTATTTTCCCTGTTTGCCCAGAGCCCACAGGCCTGTGATTATCACTTTTTGCCCAAATGACATCTCAGACATTTTGTGTGCATCTCTCTTGAGCATGCTGACACACAGAGGGACACATAGGAAGGAAAATCATCCCTCACTCCATTAAGCAGCTACCATGAAAGACTGGATGTACCAGAACTGATAAAAATATCAGAATTTCCCATATAAAGGAGACCTACAACTTTATGTCAGCTACTGCCACAACCTGGAGCGTAACAACATTCAAGCCTCACTACCTGATGTGCTCAAGTGGAAACAATCCAGGTTGATGCTGATGGATGAAGCTGCTCTAGGATGGCCCAGGAGGCACAGATTGGAGAGGCTGTGAGGGAGGAACCTCCACTTACAGCTCCTCCCAGGTGCCTAATGCAAAACACCCACAGCAGCTGCTGCCTCCTGAGTGAGGGAAGCTGTAGGGTGGAAAGGAAGATCATGGGAAGCTCCCTTATCTACATTTGCCTGAAATGATAAATATGGGCTGCCTCAGCTCCAGCTCAGTGCAACGGGGCAGTCAGGGCTGCCTGTGGCATGGGGCTGGCCAGGCAGGGGAAGGTCCATGCATCCATGAGGAACCCCTGAGGAAAACTGCCATGTGCCAACCCTCCCTCTGTCTGGCAAGGCAGTCCCACCATTGTCCCTGTGCTCCTCTCCGTGTCATTGTTTCTCTGGGGGTGCTAATTATCAGTGACATTTCCTTGAAAAGAAGCTGGGTGTTCTCTCAGAGCTGCTCTGTTTTGGCTACAGAGAGATTACAGCTCTCAGCCCCTGAAATCTCTGCCACCTTGTTATCAGTGGGGAATAAATAGTCCTGACTGTGCTGTGTAGAGACCTTTCTGCCACACAAGGTTTGTTTAAGCTCTCAGTCCCACTGCCTGAAAGTACCACAGCTATCCAAGATTTTTTAAAGCAGCCTGGAACTCTGCTGCACTGGGGACTTCACACCCAAAGACAGGCCCCTAAAAAGGTTTTGCTGATGGTTGCAGGCTTCAAGCCATGGCTGGATGAACTAGTTGGTGTGGCATGGGAGGAAGCTCTAGGGCATCCTTGTCTGGGCAGATCTGATCATCATCTTCATGCTGCTGCAATCTGGGAGGACCCCTGAAACACCTGCTGGTGACAAGCAGGACTATGGAAGGGCAGGCATTTGGACAATTCCAGATCCAAGGCAATGTATTTGCATTGTTTTGTGAAAGATCCAAGGCCCCCCACAGAGATGGAAGCTCAAGGCTTTGCAGCTGCTGGTCTTTTGCTATCATTTTGTCCTGACAAAGATAGATAAGCAATGTAGGAAGGAGCCTTTTCTTCTCTGTTACTGATTTCTTTCAGCTGGTCTCTCTTCCCAGTTAAATGCCTGTTAAAACAAGACCCCATGTCATGTGTTCAGTGTATGAATAAGGAAGGGCACCTTGTTTTGACACGGCATGCTTCTTATTGCAAAATTAGTGCTTTTCTGGTTATAAAGCAGAAGCCAGGGAAGCAACAACAAATATGAAAGACACACAGAAAAAATTTATTTTAATAGAAGAGCAGATTCCATTAAATATCAGAGTCAGGGTGAGGCCAAGAGCCAAAGGTGACAAGAGGCATGGGGATTTTGCAGGGCTAATCTGAAAAGCTCTCTGCTTCCTGCCAGGTGTTTGGTAAGATTGCGCTGAACGATACCACAGAAATCAACCGCAACAATAACTTCCAGACCTTCCCCCAGGCAGTGCTGCTGCTTTTCAGGTGGGTACATGACAGCTCTGCATAGTGTCAGCCTGGGAGCACGATTCCTCTGCTCTCGGGCACAGCTTATCTCCTCCTACCATATCATGTTCCCGAGGTGAGTAGTAACATGTTGTCCTTTGGTGGGGGAGGGTGGGAATTATGTCCAATGGAAGGACCAGTCCATTCAGTCTCTTGCAGCCCAGCAGATCACCCTGGTAATGCTCTCAGTGCTGGGGAGGGACAGGAGTCTTCCTACACAGAAGGAATGTAGCCAGATTTCAGTGCTCTCCAATGCTGATATGCATCAAAACCTTCTTTGGTTCAAATCTGGCCAGTGTGACTTCTAGCAGGGAAAGGGACATGATGAACTCAGCCATGCCCAGCTCAGCTTAGCACATCTTCCTACTCCAGCTCGGGCCAGGGAGGGGTGCTGAAGGGGTGGGAAGTTGGCACAAATTCAGCACTGTCGTAATTTTGAAGGGCTTCTTTAGATTCAATCCGCAGCCATGTCACACACATCTCCATGATTCTGCTTGGAATGTGAGAGCCCCATACCCACAGCAACCAAAGCCAGTCAGAAATAATAAGCTAATGATGGCAACCAAACCAAACAGAGGAGCAGAATATGCCAGGGAATGTCAAAGCCATCGGCCTAACTTGCTCTTAATTGACCTCAGTGGCAAAATTCTCATGAATGTTCAAGGGATCAGGAACAGGTTGCTAATGTGCCAGTCCCGGTCACATCCAAGCTCACTGCTGTCTCCCTCTGCCTTGCCCAGGTGTGCCACAGGTGAGGCCTGGCAGGAAATCATGCTGGCATGTCTCCCGGACAAGAAGTGTGACCCAGAGTCGGAGCCGGCCAACTCCACGGAAGCCGATCACTCGTGCGGCAGCAGCTTCGCCGTCTTCTATTTCATCAGCTTCTACATGCTCTGTGCCTTCCTGGTGAGTGCCCCAGCCCAGAGCTTCCCTCTGCCAGACTCAGCCTCTGCTTCCCCAGAGCAGCAATGCACAGGGAAAGAATTTTCCTCCCAAAGAGGAGAAATCTCCCCCTGGGGTCTTTCCCAGCAGCACCCTTTAAGTGACAACACCCCTTCCCTGCCTCCCTCCAGCTCTGGGGGATGCTCTGCTTCCAATCCCTGGCTTTTGTGCACAGCAAAGGAGCTCTTTGCTCTCCCCCCTTCCCCCTAAAAGAGAAAACCAAATTAGTCTGTTGTGGGCTGTGCTGAGGCTAGCAACGCCTCAGCCACACTTCCCACCTTCCCTCCTACCTTCCTTCTGGCTGCTGAGCGGGTTTTTCCTTCCCTGCCAGCAGCAATGACTGTGAGAATACACATATCCCACTTGCATCTGCTCTGTGTTGGCAGTGCAGCACTGCTCAGAGCGACAGCACACGCTCTGCAGCTGGCAGCAGTGCCCAAAACTCTCCCAGTGAACAGCAGCAACATTTTTTAAGTTTTGGTCTTGGGCCAGAAAGAAAGGACTTTTATCTCAGCCCCACTGCCTGTTGAAGATAAATCCCACCTCATTCTGCCAGGCAAAGACACAGGTAAATAAAAAGCCATGACAGCACGAATAAGAATTTAGCAAAGTTGTGCCTCATCCATTTAGTGAGGAAGAGAAAAATGTAACCAGCTGAGAATATTCCACCTCTGGGCTCTTCCCATTTAAACTGGGGGCTGGCATGGGGAACAAAGAAGCTAACCCAAATGGCTTCCTAGTTTTGTGAGTCCAAATCCAGGTGTTAAATGGAGAAACTGGTAAAATGAAATGTTCCTTGCCTCATCCATCACATCATCTCTGTCCTTGTTTGCAGATCATCAACCTTTTTGTAGCTGTTATAATGGATAACTTCGACTACCTGACACGGGACTGGTCCATTTTAGGACCACACCACCTGGATGAGTTTAAAAGGATCTGGGCAGAGTATGACCCTGAAGCTAAGTAAGTAACCCAGCCTGGGTATCAGAGCTCCTCGGGAGAACAGGCACATTATTTTCTGTTCTCTAGACTCAGTGCAGTAAGTGCCATGTTCCTCCTGCAGGAACTTTTTTTTTTTTTTGGTACAAAACTCCTAAAATAGATATCATCATCAGGTACTGCTGGTGAATCCATAAGCCCAAAGTGCAAAGATACTCACAGAAATCTCAGCATTCAGGCTGTGCTGTTCCCTGTCAGGCCATTGCTTTACTTTCTGTCAGGGAGATATAGACTTAGGGGAGCAGGAGACTGAGAAAAAGAGATTGGGGGGTCGGTTTATTGTTGTATTTGTTTGTGATGTTGAGCTGTGACTCTTCTGCTTGACTTTGTACTCTCAGCAGAGCTGCTCTGCTCAAATCTCTGGGTTTTCCTTTGTTATATATGCCCACAACAACCTGAAAATTCACATGGCTGCATCACATTGTCTGCAGGGTTATTCACAACAGCAGACTTGCAGGGATATAAAGTTACACTACAACAACTCACATGAGGGCTTAACTGGCATTCAGTATTACATGCTCTGTTTGACACATGCTTAGGCTTAAAGTGCATTTAGATCCCTGTGGCATTACTGTACAGCTGACAATTGTAATTGCAAAGCCCCCTTTATAAAGCAAAAGCCATGGGCAGAGATTTGGGTGTAAACTGAAAGCAGATCTCTTTAGGAGACAGTGTTGAGATTAGTCTGGGCTTAGGTTCTGCCATACCTGAGGTGTGTCACATTATGAGAGTGATACATGAATTTAAGCACTTCTTCACCTTCATGGTGACTTCCTGGTCTGGGGACTTTTAATATGGATGGGGAATAAGCACAGACTTGTAATAAATACACCATTTGTTAACAAAACAGATGCTACTATTTGTGCTTCCTTGAAGGCCAGACTGCAGTGGCTGAAGCCATGTAATAGATAGTTCAGATGGCATCCTGCTCCTCCCTGTTTATAAATGGGAATCTCTTTTATTCCTCATCTCATCTATGCCCCATGCCCCTCCTCTGGCTCTGCTAACTTTCCTCCCTCCATGAGAGAATTCTTCTTTTGAGATGCCATTTACCAAACTTAAGAGAAACCCAACTGCTGCTGTGAAGGAAGTTCAGTACTTTGTTTTGTGCTCACTCTAGCCCAAAGCATAAACAAGTATTAAAAGGCAGTGGCTTGGGGCTATTTATGTGGGAGGTAAGCCACAAGGAAATAAACCCTTTACACCTCTCTGCCTGCTATAGGCCTCAGCCTAACAAGTAAATAAGCAGATATTTATTTTGAGCAGGTCAGTGATGGGAAGAGAACCCCAAATTATCTGTTCATACACTAAGAAACTGCAACGTTGAAAAGGCTGAGGTTAATTCTTGCAAGTATTGACTCAAGTATGACTGGCAGCTGGGATTTCTGCACTAGTAGAGTGCCAGTCAAACCCTGCAGAAGGCACCAGATGCAAGAGGCCTGAAAAAATACTTTAAGCTATGCCTGGGCTACAGGGAGCAGCAGCACGAGGCTGGAGAGACCTGAGTGACACCATTAGGGCCAGCAGGCCAGCCCTGGTCAGGATGCAGCCCTCACTGTGCTCTCTTCTGCAGGGGAAGGATCAAACACTTGGACGTGGTGACGCTGCTGCGGCGGATCCAGCCCCCGCTGGGCTTCGGGAAGCTCTGCCCTCACCGGGTGGCTTGCAAAGTAAGGCACACTGCTGCTCTGGGAGGCTGGGCTCACAGCAAAGAAACCAGAGAATACACAATGGTTTGGCCTGAAGGGCACCTTAAAGCCCATCTAATTCCAACCTCCGTGCTTGGGCAGGGCTGCCTTGCACCAGGCCGGTTGTTTGGCACTAAACAGCCTGTCCTGACCCTGCCTCACTCAGTGGGCACATCCCAGCTCGCTGCCCACCAGGCAGAGCCAGCCACAGCATGTCTGAACAACCCCTAGGCTGCCCTGTGCCTCTCAGCAGCTCCTCTGGGCTCCAGCCACCCAGTCCAGGGCTGGAGGGTCACCAGCAGCTGGGTTGTGCACTACTCAGGGCTTTTGTCTGGTTAGGAGAGCACATCTGTGCTAAATAGAGCTCTCAAGTGCCAGGAACACACCTCTGCTTGTACTGTCAAACACCCTTCTCCAGACAGATTAGGAGATAGAGATAACAGGGCATTCTCATTGTGTAACTAATCCACAGGCCATGGATATTCACATGAGAGGGATGGCAGGTCTGGAGGGCAGCAGGAGGACATAAGGAGGAGCATGCTTCAGTCCACCTGTGATTGTTGTCTTTCCCCTCTTCATCCCACAGCGCCTTGTCTCCATGAACATGCCACTGAACAGCGATGGGACTGTCATGTTCAATGCCACCCTCTTTGCCCTGGTCAGAACAGCACTGAGGATCAAGACAGAAGGTGAGAAACTTGCTGACTGCAAGGATACAAAGGTGTTAATGCCAAGGTGTCCTGAGCTGGAATAAACCAACAGAGACAACTTGTTAAAATGATCCAAATTACTCATATGCAGCACGTGGGACAGAAAGCTATGTAAAGAGGTTTGGAGGAATAATATCTTCTAGAGAAAGCACAGTGTTTCCCACCATCTAGGGAGCTGGTGCTTCCTGTAGTATCATCTCAAATTACTGATCACATTCTTCACAGTGGTCTGAAAGTTTAAAGTTTTAGATCAATGTCTGCTCACCCAGCAATTAGGAGAAGGATGAAGGGCAAAGAAGCCTCCTTTTCTCCTTTTTGTACCCTGTCTGCAGAGCTCAGCCACTTCTTGACTGCTGCTGCCACTGATCTTCCAGTCCAAGGGAGAAAAAAGAGCTTGGACTCGAGGGTCTCATCTCACAAAAACTCCTCCTGTGCTTCCATTAGCATGAGTTAACATTACAGAAGAGTAACAGTGGTGTTGCAAAGAGAGATGAGGAGTAAAGGGACTGCTAATAGCTTTGCAGGTATATTTGAGGAAAGCAGGCAAGATTTGGGGCTCAGCTTGTCCTCTTTGTTGCTCTCTGTCACCTGCTGTAATGAAAGATATTGGTCCTGAGTCAAAATCTGGCTTCATGTATTAATGAGATGCATTGAAAGAGAGTGTAGGTCTGTGATTCACAGCTAAACACCTCTGCATCAGGAGTGGCTGCATTACATTTCAGGCATGGGGAAGCAGTGACCAGCAGAACTCTACCTTACAGTGCCAGCTGCACACTGCTGAGCCAAAAAGTAGTGGCAAAACAAAAAATTACATTAAGGCTTGAAAATTGTGCTAAACAGAATCTGACTGCAGCACAAGAGACTCTCCTGAGGAAAGACACCCACAATCCCTGTAAGACATCTTGTGTCTTATGAAACAGAGACCCAAAAAGGATTCAGTTTTGTCTGTCTGAGCCTCAAACTCTTGGAGTCATTGGACTCCTGGGAAACCATCTAAAGCCTGAAACTGCTTGCTTTCTTTCTTGCCTTAGCAGGAACATTTAAGTGGTCAGGGCAGGAGTTTGGAATTAGCCCTGCTGAGTCTGATATTTGCCTTTGATGCTGTCCATGTGTTGCATCCTCAGCAAGTTATTCCATGTCCCTATCTTCACTGCATCCTATTACAAGAACTAATGCCATGCAGAGCACCCTCAGGAGCCTAGTGCTGGGGAGAAATAAGAAGAACTGCAGGAAAAACACCTTTAGGAGGATAAGATACTGGTTTCACCACTGTATTGGCTGTATTTCAGCTGTATTAGACACCTAGAGAGAGAGAAGAGAGGGGTTTGAATGTACATAAATCAAGAAATAAAACTGAAGGTGACTCATTTGAGAGGAAATGGGTATCCAAAAGGAAAGTCACCTCCCTACCCAGAGACAACTATGCATATTTAGGAAGAAGACCTCTTGCTGTGAGGGAGCTTTAGGAATGGTCTGAGCATCTCTTGGCCCAAAACTTTCCACTTTGATATTTACCTCCTGAGATTTCCATGCCAGACATTAAATTTCTCCTCTGCAGGGTCTGCTTAATTCCTGTCTCCGCTGATTTTCACCCTGCAGGTAACCTGGAGCAAGCCAACGAAGAGCTGAGAGCAATAATTAAGAAAATCTGGAAGCGCACCAGTATGAAGCTGCTGGACCAGGTGGTGCCTCCTGCAGGTGGTGAGTGCAGGATCTTGTCCCTGTCTCTGAATATCTCTGGGTTTTTTCCCCCACCTGTCCTGTCCTACTGCACCTCGTGATCATCAGGTGGAATAGGGGGGACAGGCTTTCTTCTCAAAGCTATCTGTATTTAATATCTGTATTATCTGTTCTATATTAACATTAATATGCTGTTCTTACTGCTGAGCAATCAGGGAAAGAAAAAAATGTGCATAAACAGGAGTTGGTGCATAGGCACCCAGTGTGGCATTCACTGACTTTCCAGGTGGCCCCATGGGCACAAAAGAGCCCTTGGCAGTCAGCCCACAGAAGCAGCCAGGTCCTGAGCCTTGCTCAGCCTGCTCTGAAGTCAGTGGACCATGTCTTCTAAAATTTCCAGTGAGTTTGCAGAAAGGAGGAGAGCTACCTGGGATAAAACACAGTGCACATTTTGGCTGACAGGTTTTTATTGTGTGGGAACACAGCTGTGACTGCATTTCAGGGGAGAGGTGATCCCCTCTGTTCACTCATACCCTTGTCAGGCACAAAAGGGACAGAATTCCAGTGCAGAGAAGGGTCAGGGCAGGCCTGGGATGGCTGATCAGTCAGAGGCTGTTGTGAATAAGTCTTACCCCAGGCTGTCACAAGACAGCAGCATGTGTTGGCCCAGACTGGGAGGCTCCTGCTATAACGAGATCCTTTGTGGTTAACCAACACCAGAGCCTGCAAAGGTTAGATGTGCTCCTGCTGCAGGGGTTCTGTGCCAGCAGAGCCAGTCTGCCCAATGCCACCGGCACCTCTGCTCCTGACTGCTCACAGCAAGCCCTGGCTGCAGAGCAACCCTTCCTGATGCCATAAGGAGCAGAGGTGAACTGCAGTGTGTTGGTGTGCTGTTTGCGAGGGTCTCAGGATGAGGGAAGAGATGAATCTGACTCCATATTTCTTAGAAGGCTGATATATTATCATATCATATAAAATTATATACTAAAACTGTACTAAACTACAGCGAAAAGATACATCAGAAAGCTAGAAAAGAATGAATAATAAAAACTCATGACTGACCAGAGAGTCTGACACAGCTGGACTGGGATTGGTCATTAAGTAAAAACAATTCACATGGAACCAACCAAAGATGCACCTGCCACATTCCAAAGCAGCAAAACACAGGGAGAAGTGATCAGATAATATTGTTTTTCTTTTCCTCTGAGGCTTCTCATCTTCCCAGGAGAAGAAATCCTGGCGAAGGGATTTTTCATAAAATATAATGGTGACAGCAGTGCCCAGTGTTTCTGCAAGGCTTACATGAGCAAATGCACCAATAAATCAGCAGCTTATTTAATTTATTTTTCACCCCCCACCTTTGCAGATGACAAGGTGACTGTGGGGAAGTTCTACACCACCTTCTTGATCCAGGTGTATTTCGGGAAGTTCCAGAAGCGTAAAGAGCAGGGGCTGGTGGGGAAGCAAATACGCCAACAAATCAGCTGCTTATTGAGTTTATTTTTCGCCCTCCCCTTTGCAGATGACGAGGTGACCGTGGGGAAGTTCTACGCCACTTTCTTGATCCAGGAGTACTTCCGGAAGTTCAAGAAGCGCAAAGAGCAGGGGCTGGTGGGGAAGCCCTCCCAGCGCAACGCGCTCTCCTTACAGGTGACAAGCGGGCCCCGAGCGCACAGGGGTGGTACACTAGAGACAGCTGGCCCCACGTCCCTCTTCAGCCACTCTGGGGGTTGCAATGGGCTATCCCTACTGGAAAGGAGTTTGTACACCCTTTGAATTATCACACCAATCCTTTTGGATAAATACCTGTGTACCTGCATAATCACAATTGATCAATCTGCCAGTAATATTTGAAATTTGGGATCCTTTGAACTGGTATGAAGTGTCCTACAGACATTTGCTTACTCCCACATACATTTGACCCCTTTTGAGTGCATGTTGCCAGGAGACAAAATCACTTAAAAAGCAAAAAGCATCCCTGGATGCCAAAGCCATCCAGTGGACAGTAAGGACTGTAAGGACTGGGATTTGTTCCCCACTGTGATACTTGTTCACTCAGCAGATTACCAGGCTGTGTGACAGAAAGAGAAAACCCTGTTGAATGTACAAGCAGTACTATTTATGTCCCTTGAGGATACTTTGAGGAAAAAGGTTGGCTCTGGAGTTTCAGCAAGCTGCAAAGTGCTGTGATATGGGCACAAACACAGAGCAAGGCCTCAGTACACCCACAGTTTACCACCCTGGATGGACTCTGGAACAGACTCCAGACAGTGAGGGGTTTGAGGACTTAGCAGGTCCAAATGCCAGAAGCTTAGTTATTAAATCCTTATTTAAGCTGCTGATTAAAAATAAGAGATTTTCTGAGGCACCAGAATACAGTTCAGCTGGAACTGCGTCTGCTCTAGAAGTTCTGGTTGTGGATCTGAGAACCCAGAGCTGAAAGCACGCAGAGCTGCTTAGTCAAGCCTGTGGATTTATGTCTATGTCCTGCTGTGATGAAGCCAAGGACTAGCAACAAACATCCCTTGGCTTGTATTGCCAAGAGTTTCTCTCCTTGAGGCGGAGATGACAGAACAGGCTTGGCTGGTGTTTCCCTAGGATCTGGGGGTGCTATGTTAGCCCAAGGGGCCCCGCAGTGTTTAGGAGGATATGGCAGTGCTGGTGTCTCTCCCGTGCCCACTCGGAGATATGAAGCTCTACAGTTTGCTGTTTTGCAGGCTGGTCTGCGCACACTCCACGACATCGGGCCCGAGATCCGACGAGCCATTTCTGGAGACCTGACAGCTGAAGAGGAGCTGGACAAGGCCATGAAAGAAGCTGTTTCTGCTGCCTCTGAAGATGATATCTTCCGGGTAGGTTCTGAACAGGTTTGCGAGGTGAGGCTGAGCTCAGAGTGCTATATTTTCCTTTGTTCATTCTGCATTTCAGCTGGGCTCTCCTTGTTTGGTAGATTTTACTAGAAAACAGTGGTGGACCTAGGTCCTAAGTGAAAGGTCCTAAGGTGTTTGCACAGTTTTATCCCAATTCCTTTTCTCTTTCTCTCAAGGGAAGCTTCTCACTGGAAGATTCCCTCATGAAACCTAAATTAAAGAACAGATCAGTGTAGCCATTTTGCAATCTGCAGAGCAGCAGCCAGGCACACTTTAGTGTTTTGTTCACTCCTTTCAGTGGCACTGGAAGCATCCTTCCAAAAAGTACACAAAGACACAACAGAGCTATGGAAGCAGAAAATTTCCTAAGCAACTTAGCTAAAACATTTATTTCTTGTTTAATCCTTCCAAAAAGTACACAAGGACCCAATAGAGCTCCTATGGAAAGAGAAAATTTTCTGAGAAACTTAGCTAAAACATTTCTTTCTTATTTCATTCCTGTTTCTTATAATTGTTTTCTTTAATAACTTTTCCTCTCCTTTGGCATTTTTCTCCTTTCTTTACAAAAAAAGATGCTATCAGTCCTTTCATTACCCATCTAAACAGCACATAACTGGCTTATTAAATTTCTCTTCATTTCTTCCTCCATGTGCTTAATAGTTTTTGGTGCTCTTCTCAAATTTCCCCTCATATCTAAATCCCTCTGAAATCCCAGCCTGTGTGTAGCTAGTCTCTGTGACAGAGAAGTCCTCACACTGCTTTCTCGAAGAGAGAGCATCAGTGTCATCATGCATAGCTAAAACATTTATTTCTTGTTTCATTCATGTTACTTACAATTGTTTTCTTTAGTAACTTTTCCTCTCCTTTGGCATTTTCCTCCTTTCTTTACAAAAAGATGCTGTCAGTCCTTTCATTACCCATCTAAACAGTACATAACTGGCTCATTAAATGTCTCTTAATTTCTTCCTCCAAGTACTTAATAATTTCTGGTGCTCTTCTCAAATTCCCCCCTCATACCTAAATGTTCCTTTGTAACTGCACTGGGAAAACCAGACAGCAGCTCCCTGGTTCTTGCATCCATACCCCATCCTGGACTCCCAGGGCTGCTGGGAGGTGTAGAGACATACACCCGCCAACCCTCTGAAATCCCAGCCTGTGTGTAGCTAGTCTCTGTGACAGAGAAGTCCTCACACTGCTTTCTCGAAGAGAGAGCATCAGTGTCATCATGCATACTTTGGTCATCACTTTTTTTTCCACTCAAGAACAGTCTAAGAAGGAGAACACCAGGGCCCTTGCTCACTCACAAAGGAAAAATCCTTTCTGTTTCTCTGACAGAGAGCTGGGGAAGAGAGAGCACCAGTGTCATCATGCACACTTTGGTCCTCACTTTTTTTTCCTCAAGAACAGTCTAAGAAGGAAAACACCGGGACCCTTGCACTTCTCACTCACAAAGGAAAAATCCTTTCTGTTTCTCTGACAGAGAGCTGGAGGCTTGTTTGGAAACCATGTGAGCTATTACCAAAGTGACGGCAGGAGTGGGTTCCCCCAGACATTCACCACCCAGAGACCTTTGCACATCAACAAGTCTGGCAACAACCACGGCGACACCGAGTCTCCATCTCACGAGAAGCTGGTGGACTCCACCTTCACTCCCAGCAGCTACTCATCTTCAGGCTCCAATGCCAACATCAACAATGCCAACAACACTGCCCTGTGTCGCTTCCCCAGCCCACCCAGCTACCCCAGCACTGTCAGCACGGTGGAGGGCCATGGGACCCCCTTGTCACCCACCATATGTGTGCAGGAGGCTCCCTGGAAGCTCCCATCCAAAAGGTAAGTGTCCCAGCAGAGAGGGAGCCAAGGGAGCAGGTGCTGGAAGGTGCATGCAAACACCAGAGCACTGCTGCCGAGCCAAAGTCACTCCCAGACATTGCCCAGCCTGGATTGAGCCTTCTGGTTCTCCACTTGTGCCAAAGCCCACAGATATGCACCAATTGGCCACTGCAAAGCACCGGCACTCTTACTGACCAACACGCTCGACTTCTTTGGGCTCTGTCAGGAAGAAACCTTTGTAAGATCCAAAGGGAACCTTATTTATCCCTCCTTCACTGCAGGGAGGTGTTTTATCAGCTGGTAACTGAAGAAGACTGTTCTTCATGTCTTAATCGCCCAATAGGGAGCTTTGTTGAAGTCAGTGGGTTTTCATTCAGTAGGTCACATCCCTACAGAGGTCACCAAAGACATTCTGGGAGAAGGGAGGCGAGATTTTTGGAAACAAAGCGAAGAAAATCCCCTTCTCTGGACAGTTTTCAGGCTCTCTACACACAGATGACTAACACAAAAGGAATATAATTTTTCTCAGTGGGGGATTTCTTTTAATACTTTCAGAAACAGCAGGAAAGACATGGATTTTTTTTTCAGTGCAGAGAGTGAACAGTGTGAAAAGGTGGCCAAATGCTGCCCCCAGAAAGGACAGAATAGGACAATAAGGCAGAGGAACTTCAGTGGGTGCAGAATTGCCCAAGTGAAGAGTCCCGTGATTTTTCTATTTCATGCCTTCCTGAGGGAGCCCACGGGGAGTTGCACAACATGTGTTCCCATCTGCCCTCCTCCCTGCTGAATTCGTGCTGCTGTGACACTGCTAACAGGGTGTTTTTTCTCTCCTTGCTTCCCTGGGCACGTTCCTTGAATTAGGACACATTACTACGAGACACTGGGACGGTACGTGTTCTCCATACCCCTCTAATGCTGCCTGGCTGTAAGACCCACTGTCTTCATCCTGTTCAAACTCCCAATTCCCATTAATGTTGAATATGACCTCTCCTTTTTGGTGTCAGTAGGGTTGAAATAGAGATACTGATCACCATGATAGCTCCAGAAAATACCCCCTGCCTGGGGCAAGTAGCGGTCCATGTTCTGGCTGTTTTCTAGATTTGGGGGTTTTAGAGATTCTAGCTGGGCTCACACATCTACACATTCTCTGATCACAGCATAGTGAAATACACCCTGGCATGTTCATGCAAAAATTCCGTATGGTTTTGGCTAAACACAGACAGTTGAACAGGAGGAGATGCCAGGTACTGATTTTTTTTTCCCCTCTGCACCTTAGCAGTTTTACTCGCCTCCCATTTCAGAGGAGGGTCACTGCAGCACTGTCCTACAGGCTCTTTTACACAATGCATACCCACATCTCTCCCAATGGTTTTTGCTTTAACCACATGACAAGATAACGGTGCCCCTCCAGTCCCTAAAATATGAAACAAAAAAAAAAGCCACCCTGCTCTCTTCTGCAAATGCTAGTAAGAAACTGAAATTGTTTCCACTGCCTCCATGTCCATACCTCAAGGATTTGAGCTACCTCTAGATTTTACTTTACTCCTCAGAAGAAGCAAAGTCCAAATGAAGCAAAACATGAGTGCCAAAATGTGAAACGGGGACAGAGAGGAGGCAAGCAGGGAGTTAAGGGCTGGCACACCTAAGGCTTTGAACAAACCCTACTGAATTCAGTAGAAGCATTCTGCAGTTAAAAAAAAAGGATAAAAGGTGGAAAAGCCAGCAAGGATGAGAACGTGAGCAGGAGGCAGAGGGCAGAGCTGGTGCAGACTGAGGGATTTGGGAGGCAAAGGCCACACATCACAGAGATGAGGAGGTTACTGTGGGTGTCCAGGAGGCTTCTCCAAAATCCATAACCAAGTCTTTTGCAACCAGGGGAAAAGCATATTCCTGAGAGCCCATCTCAGATTTTACTGTGAGTTCAGTGAGGTGTATCACTGGAAATGATCAGTGTGATGTGCACATTCACAAAGGACAAAATAAATTCACAGTTTAAGAAACTGATCCTGTGAAAAAGGACACAGACAAAGATTGTTGCCTTGTATTTGTGAACTCTGTAGCTCTGTTCAGTCATTGATTTTCCTATGAAGGCTCTTCAGCATTATAATAAACTGGGACAGATGGAGCCTGTCATTCTTGTCTTTGTAACAGGTTGTCTTTACCATCTCCATATCTTGACTTGTCTTTTTTGCTCATTAGCTCCAGTTCCAGAGACAGCCAGCTGGCAATTGTTTGCCAAGAGGAAGTGTCTCAGGATGAGACTTATGATGAAAATTTGAATGAAGACATTGAGTACTGTAGTGAACCAAGTCTGCTCTCTACCGAAATGTGAGCTTTGCAGCTTTAGTCAAGGTGTTTGGGTGGTTCTTTAATTAAGGGGGAGAGGTGGGAAGACGTGACATATTTCTACAGAAATTTCAATTTATGGGAGAAGGTCAGAAAATTTTAGACAACTCAAATATGAGAAAATATTTCCAGTTCAGCCCTAGAAGTAACATTGAAAATGTTATTTTTCACCTAGGATTTTCTTTCTCTGAATGAGATATCTTCAGGGCTGCCCCCCACATTCACTTCTACCTCCTGATGTTCCCAGAGCTCATTTTTAGAGTTCTCTGTCTCGTGGTCTCTTGTTGCTGTTCTGGACCAGTAATAGTTTGAAGCTGGCTTGCTCTTGCATCCCTTTGCTAGCATGACCTTCCTGGCTTCCTTGCTGGAAGAGGGCTTTTTCTGCCCAGCATCAGCTGCTTTTCTAAATCCCTCTGCTCTCCTCCCCAGGCTTGCATACCAAGATGATGAAAACAGACAACTCACTCCACCAGAACACAGCAAAGGAGAGGACAGCCGGCACTCTCCGAAGAAGGGGTTTCTGTGCTCCTCAGCTCTAGGTAACTCCCAGCAGGGCTGGGCTGTGATTCCTCCCCCTTGACGGAGTTCCCACACCTCCCTGAAGGAATCCCAGCCTGTGTGGGCACGGGTGTTGCTGTTTGCTGCATTCAGCTCATGAGACCAGGAGTCCCAGGGTGTGCAGACAGTCCTGACCAGGCACAGGGCTCTGCTGGCTTCACAGCCAGCCAGCAGATGAAGCTGTGGCTGTTTGGACAGTCCCTGTGATCTGTTTGATCAAGGCTGCCTGTGAATTAAGGCAGTTTATTTGAGAGCTGTAGGCTCTCCAAACAATCACCAGGGAGTCACCAAATAGGTGAGCCTTGAGCCTACAGTGTACTGCTCTGTGTGTATTCAGCAAGGAGAAATGAGAGATTGTCTCCTTTGTCTGCTGCCAGGAGCACACTGAATGCCAGATTAAGTTAATACAACATGCATTTGCCTTCTGCTCTAATTGTACCTGGAGATTTTCAAGTGCTTCACTGGGAAAGGAAACCCATGAATCACAAGGTTTTATGAAATTATCAAGAGTCTGTGACAAAATGAACTCTTAGGTATAGCATTTTTCAGCCTTTTTCTGAGTATTGGTGTGGTGAAAAAGGGCATTGAAGGGAGAAACTAAAAAGAATCGTGTGTATAAAATACATTTTTACAGAATAACAGGGACAGACTAGGTAGTGTCATGTTTAAAGTGAGGCTACTGAGTCTTCACTGAAATCCTTCAGGATGGCTCACTGTTCTAACAACATTTACTTTATTTCAAATCTTCAAATATTAGGTAATGACAACTTCTATGTCGATCTGTAAGGCAGTCAGCCCTTGATACAATGCTTCACTAACTACATTCTAGTAAATATTTATGTACTGATGTCATACTCATTTTAGTAGTTGGGTTTTTTTCTCAAGAAAGAGGAAATACTTTTAACCTGCATTGTAACATTCATTCTCTGGGTTATAATATATTTTCTCCAACCCTGAGAGGGCTTTTTCTCAGCAATCCAATATTATAGATATTTACTATTTTTAAAAATCTAATTTTCTTCCCTTCTTTAGAAGAATGTCAACAAAATGAAGAAGACCACAAACTATTTTAATGTGCCATGTATTTTTTTTGTATCGAATCTTTAGTACTGGATTTATTTGCCATTTTTCAGAAGTAAAGCACTTGATTATAAACATACTTTTCAGTAGTTTTAAATTCCTCGTTGGGAGCATATTTAGAGAAGTAAAGTTCAATATAATTATATTAAATATATTAAAAATATATAATACTTTAATTATATATTATATAATATATTGTTAAAGTTTTTATAGCGAGTAAACAACTGTGACTGTTTCAGCAGTTCCCTCTAAAATGTTTTTTTCTCTCTTCCCTTCCAAATTCCAAAAATGCTTCATTTCTGTCTAAGTCACCTTCCATTCACCAGTAAATTCCCCATTGATGGATTCAGTTGCACTTGACCTTGCTATAGACACAGTCCCTCAGAGTGTGGTGTGTCTGGCAGCTGAGGGACACAGATCACATGCAAGCAGGGTGCCAGTGTCACCTGAGCAGCACAATGTCCCTGCCTGCCCAGCAGCAGAGTCTCAGCTGCCACATCCTGCTGAGGGCTCTGCCTCAGCCACGGAGGTCTGAGAGCACTGCCACTGCTTGGGAGGGAGACCAGCTGCACGTGTTTTAAATGAAAAAAGGGTTCAGAATCCCACTTTGCAGCAATCCCACCTTGCAGCTTGCTTGGAAGGTGGAGTTGGCTGGTTTGTGATGCCCAAGTGCTTTCTGTAAATACATTTTCTTTGGAAAGGCACGGTGTTGAAGGGAAGAGCTTAAAGCACATGTGTTTTTGCTGTATGTCCAGTGGGACTGCGCTGAAAGAAACTGGAAACAGATTTCCTGTAGTGTGTTATGAGTGATGGACGCGTTGTGTGTGTTGCTGTTTCAGGTCGAAGAGCATCTTTTCACTTAGAATGTTTGAAAAGACAGAAAAACCAGGGTGTGGATGTCTCACAGAAGACAGTCCTGCCTCTGCATCTGGTCCATCATCAGGTGAGTGTTTATAACCAGACGTGGCCTCTGCCACCTGCAGTGCCCCCCAGAGCATCCCAGCCCACAGCTCAAAAACCATTTGGGATAGATTCTCACCCACACCAAAGGCCCAGGTTTTAACAATCAGGATTTTTATCATTCCCAGAATGCTACAGGAATATGTCCCTTGTAGTCAGCCACAGTTATCGCTGTCTGATGCTCATGAATAAATGAAATAAAATACTATCAAAAAGATGAAAATAACTACCCAAATTGCATGCTGCAGTGCAATTACACTGGCTTTGATGGCAGTATGCACATGAATAAAGTGTGCACAGTCTAATATTAATTAAAGGTAACCAGTAAGTGTAATTAACCATTTTAAAACACAAACTGATTACATGTCATCAATCAGCTTCTTCAGCCCTTTGTAACTGTGTTCAGCAGCCTAGCAAATGTATGCCTAAACACATGCCTGGATGATTAGCCAGCTGTCAGGCTCCAAAGGAGAGCTGTGTCTTCTGCTTTGACAATGCCACTTTTTGTCACCCATAAAAGAAACAGGTGCAGATGGCAGTGCCAGCCTTGCAGGTGTGGCATCCTGCTCTCTGCAGTCCTCCCAGGCAGGGTAGAATGGCCTTGCTGCTTCTTTAGGCTGCCACAAGCAAGAATGGGAGGAGAGAGAAATCAGAGGAGTGAGAGAGGGGTGGACTTCAGGCTCCCTGGCTTTTCTCACCTCCACTTCCAGAGGGTTATCCTTTAATTCTTGAGCTCCAGAAAGCAGTGATCTGCAGATAGTTACAGCTGTGGCAGGGACAACCAGAAAACGTGTTGGAGCAGGGAGGGTTGGTCAGGAAACAGATTCCCACATTCACCACAGCATCAACAGCTCTCCTGAGGCTTCCTGCCTTCCCCAGGCAGGCCAGGCAGAGGGAACACAGTCCTTCCAGCCCTCCCAGCCCACACAGCTGCCAGAATCACCTCCCTCCAAACCTCTTCACCCTTCCCCTTGCCACCATGCAGCCCAAAACCTGGAGGGATGGGACTCTGCCCACACAAGTGTCACTCAGCCAGACTGAAGGGCTACCCTGAAAGAGGCTGCCAGCTGACAACACTCAGCAATGTTCCTGTTTACAAAAATGTTAACCAACAACAGTGCCTAAAATAAGACCACAGAGTGGAAATTTGCCTCTGCCAAACCTAATGGATTGTGTTGCTGTGAAGGCTTCAAGAGGGGTTCTCATGGAATACCTGGACATCATAACATGTAAACGTGTTCAGTGAAGCTCAAAGCAATCCTACACAGCTTCCTTCAGCTTCCTCAGAACCTTACATTTTTGATAAAACATTTTGTGTAAGTTTCTGCCAGCAGGCTGGGAAATTGGTTCTGTTGTCCTGCCTGACAGATCCAGGTCTCTCCTTGAAGTCCTGATGTTTAAGGGATGTGCTGAGGCCATCGTAGCCTGCAGGGTATGACTTATTCAGAAGTGTTAAGGGCTTTCTTCCTCATTGAAATTTGATAGGAGTCTGACATCTAATTACTGAGAAAACCTTGGTGAACTTGCAGGTGACTAAGAATTCTTTTTTCAGAATGAAAAATTCTTTTTTTCTGACACTGAAGTCATCAGCACAACATAATAATCAGTTCCCAAGGATTTCAGTGGCAGATGGACTGAGCTTCACTGAACATTAGATAGCTTTAAGTGAGCTGTCTAGTTTAAATCAGTTCAGTCCCACTGTGGTCAGTGGAGGGAAGGAGCATCACCAAAGGGCAAGTTTAACTCTTGTGTAAGTCATGTCTTTGAGGCAGTGTTTTCAGGCAGGCATTGAAGAGCAGGGAAGTTTGCCAGTGCCTTTCTGCACAGCTAGCTTAGGCTGAACACAGAGCCTTGCCCCAGCATGAACACAACACAATCCACACCCTTTTGTAGTTTCTATGCATTTATTTCATTGCTCAGCCATGAGCTCTGTGAGATGAGCTCATGACTCTGACAGTCTTGCTTATAGAGCAAGGAAACAGTCACCATCAATAAGGCATCAGATCAGCCCCGTGCAACAAGAGGCCTCTTGAGGAATTCATTTTAAGAGCAGGCTGAATGACTCAGAGGTTGTGTGTATGGTTACAGGAAGGACTGGATGGCTGAAAGCATAATCATAAGATTTTGATCCTCCCACCAACAGCAGACGCCTTAAAATCCAGTGGTGGATTTCAAGTTATTGCCAATTGCACACACATCTAAAATTCATACCTGGTTCAGGTTACTCAGTAGATACCTAAAACAGCAACTGGCAATAAAATCCTGTGCTGTGTGTGGTGTCAGTGGTGGGAAAATGAGCTGCTGTCTCCCCCACTGGAGAAGAGGTGGTGTTTCTGGCAGAACTGTGGGGAATGGGGCTGCATCCTCCTAGCAGTGCTGTGGGAATGGGGCTGCATCCTCCTGGCAGTGCCGTGGGAATGGGGCTGCATCCTCCAGGCAGTGCCAAGGGAATGGGGCTGCATCCTCCTGGCAGTGCCGTGGGAATGGGGCTGCATCCTCCAGGCAGTGCCAAGGGAATGGGGCTGCATCCTCCTGGAGCAGTGCTGTGGGAATGGGGCTGCATCCTCCTGGCAGTGCCATGGCTCCCAGGCTAAGTAATTGTGGTTCTGAAAATTTCCAATCCGGTGCTTGGCACTAGGGTGCACCATTTAAAGGAAGGCAAAATTATTTTACAGCACACATCAATGTAGTCATGATATTTTATGAAAAATCCTTTGCTAGGATTTTTCTCTTATTTTAGTTGAGGAGTTTCAGGAAAGAAATGTAAACAATAACTATTTGTTGTTGTGGAATGTAACAGGTGTACCTGTGATTGGTGCATGTTGGTTGTTTTTAATTAATGGCCAATCACAGCCAGCTGGCTCAGACTTTCTGAGAGTCACCAGCTTTTGTTATTTATTTTTTTTCTTGGGTTTTTTTAGCCTTCTGATGGATTTATTTTTTTAAGTCTTTTTTCCAGGTAGAAAAGGGAAGTTTATTTTCTGACTCTAACATTTATGGATTTCTAAAGGTGACAGTGTATTGCAGGGTGAAAGTGCTACCCCTCCAATGACACTGGACAAACTAACAGTCTATCAAATTTCTCCTCCTCTATAAAAGAATGCAAAAAAACAAGTTGTTTATAGAAAGTGTGTGAGAAAGTTTGCTACAAGAATGGAAACATCAGAAGGCTTAGAAAATCTTAAAAAATCAGGGCAATACATCCAAACCCTAGAAGGAGCTGGCAGCTTCACAAGCCTCGAGCCTCTCCAGGCCTTTGTTGGATGGTTTCTCCAGCACCTCCTTTTTCCAGCCCTGCACGCTCTCACTCCTGTTGTCCCTCCTGTGTCCGCAGGCACTCGCAGTGGCCGGCCTGAGTCCCCTGCTCCAGCGAAGCCATTCCCCCACCACGTTCTCCCGGCTGTGCGCCACGCCGCCGGCCACGCCGTGCAACCGGGGCTGGCCGCAACAGAGCATCCCAACGCTGCGCCTCGACGGGGCGGACTCCTCGGAGAAGCTCAACAGCAGCTTGCCGTCCGTGCACTGCGGCTCCCGGTACCCGGAGAGCGGCGGCAGCCCCAGGAGAGCCCGGCCGGTGTCGCTGACCGTGCCCAGCCCCACGGCAGGGAGCAGCCGGCAGCTCCACGGCAGCGCCAGCAGCCTGGTGGAAGCGGTAAGAGCGCACAGGCAGCGAGGATGCTGTGGCATGGTCAGCTAGAAACGTGGCCCTGGAGGAGCAGGGCAGCAGGTCCACTGCTGCCCGCAATGCCAGGAGGAGGAGAGGCCTTCTCCCAGGTTGGGATCATGAATGGGAGAAGGAAACACGGCAGTGAGGAGGGTTGTGTTGGAGGTGTGGCAGGGTTGGTGCTGCAGGGTACTAACGCGTGTCTTTGTGTTCTGGTTCCCCACCTGCTTTTGAAGGTCTTGATTTCCGAAGGACTGATGCAGTTTGCTCAAGATCCAAAGTTCATTGAGGTCACAACCCAGGAGCTCGCAGACGCCTGCGACATGACGATAGAAGAGATGGAAAATGCAGCAGACAACATTCTCAATGGTAACAGCAAGCAGAGCCCCAATGGCAACCTCTTGCCTTTTGCTAACTGCAGGGACCCAGGGCAGGACAGTGCAGGAGAGGAAGAGGAAGAGGTGCAGAACCCGGATTGTAGGATAAGTCAGGAGGAGCTCAAGGACAGCAGGATTTATATCAGCAGCCTGTAGTTGCCAGGGCTGGAAGCGATGCTGGTTTTTTATTTGTTTCAATGTTCCTAATGGGTTTGTTTCAGAAGTGCCTCACTGTTCTCGTGACCTGGAGTAACCGGAACAGCGTTCTTCATTCATTTCTGTTGGGACGAGTCGCAGAGTTGGGTGGTGTAAGAAAGCTTTTCAGGAGCGGATATAACCCCAGCACGTGTCCATGAGGGAAGAGTGAGGAGGAGGAGGAGAAGAAGAGGAGGAGAGCCAGCTCCCTCTTTTTTTCAGTCCCTGCACAAGGAACGACAGCTGCCTCCGGAGCACGAAGGGGAACCTCAGCTTCCTGTGGATCGCCCTAGCCAAAAGGACCCTGCGCCAAACGGGTGTCTTTCAACCTTGCTTGTAAAAATCATTTTGCACATATTCTGTATGAGCCTCACCGTCTCCATAAAGCCAAGGCCCTTTGATTCGGAAGGAGAGGAAGACTTCTGCTGTGGATTCCCACACGGCCACGGGGAGGAGGAAGCAGGAGAAGCCCGAGGCACGGCCCAGCCCTGCCGAGACTCCGGCAGCGGCCCCTGCCGGCCAATCAGAGCTCAGGCGGTCACTCGCCAGCCAATCCGAGTTTAGGCGGTTTCCTGCTGGCCAATCAGAGCTAGCGCGCCAACTGTGCCAGCCAACGGGAGAGCAGGCATGGCGGCAGGGCTGAGAGGCCGCCAGGCCTGTGCAGAGTTCTTCTTGTTTCGCAGTTTGGTATTTTCTTGAAAGCATGTTGCAGTTTTTATTTTGACTATTTTATTGTTATTATTATTATTATTATTTTGAGGGAGAAGGGAGTGTTTACAGCGTTTTGTAATCACCTACCTTTTTTGTTTTGGTTTATTTTCACCTTTGCAGATGTTAAATTGGTTTGATCATGTTGTATTATTTAAACTGGGGTGGGGGTGGTTTCTCCATTGGAATTTGGTAGAAGTATAATGATAGATGAGTTTTACCAACCATTATGTACACCGAGGATTTGTAATTTTATTTACTAGCAACCGAAACCTTTTGTTGTTGTTGTTTTATAATTTAAAGATAGTAGGCAATGCACTTGATATAGTCTTGCACATTTGAGTGATTGATTTGGGTTCTTTTTAGTGCTAAGTGTATCTGTGAGTGTGGGAGCAACAGGAGCGAGTGTGTGTGCACATGTGTGCGTGCGTGTGTGTGTGTGTAAGAGCAGCTCTCCACGTCCTGGTTTGAGCTGCCTGTGGGAGATCTGTATCTGGGGCCATTCGAATGCAAAAACAAAACCACTGTCTCTGCTTTCGAAAAGGGAATCAGTAACTTTGCATTTTCTGTTCCACAAGATATGCAAAAACAATGCAATAATATTAATTTTAAAATAAAATTGTAAGTTGTGTCGGCATTAAAACTGTATAGAAGAAAAAAAAATTTACGGGGGTGGGGGGAAACAAAAAAAAGAAAAACAAACCAGAAGACGTTACGCTTCGATATATTCCGTGTGATGTTTTATTGCATTGATAATGTTTCTGTTGAAGAAACCGTTATACTTGAATTCAGGTCAGTTTCAGTATTTTTCAAATATTTTTTTAAAATGAATTGCAATTGTGCCAAGCAAAGATAATGAATTGAATTAAGTTTGTTTAAAAAAAAAAAGAAAAAAAAAGAATCACTTCTTGTATATTTTGCTGCATGTCAAGTGAGTCATTTCGTATTTGGAATGTGCCAAGCTTTACCTTTGAACTTTTAAGTGCTTTTTTACGTGTGGTTGGGGAAAGGGTACTACTTTATTTTTTTTTTCCTTTTTTAATTTGTACGATGAACAAAGTGTACCTGGTGTAAGTAACTATTCTGCAATCCACTGACAGGTTGAACGTTACTGATTTTGCATATCTTGTGTTCATTTTCCTTCTTCCTCGCTCCCTTTTAACGTGCACGATGACTTTATCGGTAGAGAACCTTTCTTCCCGAGACTGGGACATTTTATTCAGGCTTTGTTTTCTTTCCTTTTGCTCAGTTCCTCTAAAGGTCCTGTCCCACTCAAGGGTGGCAAGACCTCCAAAGCCCATTTGGCAGATCCATCCTACACGTTCAGCTGGCACCAGCAATTTAAGGAGCGGGGCGGAAAAAAATCTGACTTCAAAATTATTTTATTAAATATCTGAACCCTGATCAATTTTAGCAGGATCCTGGGATAAGAAATGCAAGAATCAGAACAGTTGGCAAAGTAAAGCTATCTAACCCTGGTCTGGGCTGAAAGCAGAGGGAGAGAGCTGTGGATCTTTCAGAGAATTGCTGCAGGCTGGTCAAGATACAGGTGCCAGGTGACTTTTTGGTGTTCCTAGGCATGGTCTCAATCCTCTCCCCAGACTTTAGTGGATGGCACTAAGTCAGAAAACATCTGGCAGCACAGCATGTCCCAGCCACAATTCCTGACTAGTAAGTGTGAAACTCTCACACTGACGGTTGGCTCTAACCCTGAGAGAGGCTGAAAAAACAGGCAGGTACTGTTAGATTTTATGCAACTGGTTTTTGTCTAGACTACTGCTGGGTTTTTTTCCCTCCTCAGGATGATTCACAAACTTGCAGATCAGTTCTGAGGTGCGATCTGACTCAGAGCTAAACTTTGATTCAAATCTTGAGCTTCTGCAGATGTCCAAGGACACCCTTCACTGCATACATTGATTACATTATTTTTGTGACGTCCTTGTTTTTCTTCTCGATTCTCTGGGGCATAAAGGAGAAATAGCAAAGGGTATTTTTGTCTGTATTTTTTGAACTGGCCAGGATCAGCTCAAGATAAAACAAAATACTAGAGAAATATGAATCGATTTGTACAAGCATCTGTCATCAAAGTCATAATTCAAGGCTTCCCTGGAGAAGGTGACCAGCTGGGGTGGGTCAGTCTCATCCTTTCATCCCTGTGTGGAGGTGGGCACACAAGTGTGTCCCCATGTGAGTTTACTGCTGCTGCTGCTGATGTGCTCCAAAGGGACTTGAAAGGGAAGAACGCCCATGCCTGGCTGTTCCTGAAAATGCCATTTAAGGGTTCCCTAACTCATCTTTTTTCACTGCAAAGTCCATCTGACCTCCCAATGGAAAACAGGGGTTCTTCACTCCTGAAAAACAGTGCTTACCTAAATTAGTGGTGACAATGAACATTTTGGATGCTTGGCAGCCCATCTTTTAGCATTTTTCTTGATGGGAGGGAAAATGACAGGAAGGATAGTGCCCCAGACATTCTGGGTGAAAGATGCTGCTCCCTCGGGGGTTGGAGCCTCTGGCCAGGGAAAACCCCGCTCTCTCCTGGAAGACCCCATAGGTGCTGCAGAGTGGAAAATGTATGGCTAGCAGAGAATGCAAATGACTTCTGCACTTTGAGGGGTAGGTGTTAAATTTATTAATTGCTGGTGCCAGCTGTGCAAACTTCTCTTTCTGGGGAGGGTGGCTTTCTTTTCATTTTTTTCATTTGAGGTACTTCCAATGTGCACATTGTGACAGGCCTGAGCAAAGAGCTCTGCGAGTGAGGCAGAGTCTGGGGGACAGTGGGAAGGAGGGGGCAGGTTTAGTTCCTGGAGTGTTTCCCTGTGGATGGTGGGTACAATCCCTGTGCTGTGGACGGAAGCTTGGAAGGAAGCGATGGCTGAGAAGTGGCGTGGAAGGAAAGAATGGGGAAAATGATCTGCTGTTTGCCTCTGAGCATCTGACTCATGAGAGGACACTGCAGACTAAAGACATTTCTTATAAAACAACAGACCTCCTCCCTGTATCACTCCTGCTCATTAGTCCAGACAGTACTGGGTCAGCCACATCGGGTGCATTTCTTTTTTTCTTCCCTATTTCTGTGTGGCTGACGTGATGGGAAAGCAAGTGGAACTCATGATCCAGAGCTGGAGTTTTGCTGTCCACAGATCTTTTGTGCATCATCTGCCTCTTCAGCTGGACATGTGGACGATGATGGTGTAGATGCTGCTGCTACTGCAGGGGTCCTGCCTGTTTTCTTGCCCTGCCCACACACCCCAGCACGGAGGGACAACCAGAGAGGCGCCATGTACAGAACCGCATCTATTTCTGCTTTGTTTTCTGACTCACAACCCTGCCCCAGTGACTACGACAACAACAACAAAAAAAAAAAAGGGCAAATGCATTTTTTACATTTCTTGATAATTTCCAAAGCAATGTATCATTGCTTTCTTTAGACTGACGCCAATATAACAGTTGTATGGGTCTCAGCCAGGCTCCTGTGTCTTTTCTGCCTGAGTTTCAGATTGCTGTATGAAATGTATGCGCGTTTGCACACAGACACAACCAGACGAGGTGGCAGCACCCCGAGCCCGTGGGGTTGGTCACCTGTGTCACAGATGGAGTTGGAGGCCTTGCTTTGTGTGAGTAGATGAGAAACCCCAACCCACTGGTCCAGGGAGCTGAAGTGAAGCAGCCCTACTGAGACAGAACTGAGTATCCTGAGATACTTCCATGGTCCTGCTGTGACTGTCCCCACAGCAGGGGCACTGGGGGGGAGAGGAACACTGAATGGGGAATTTGGAGCACAACAATATTGAAGCAGAATCCAGTCAGGGGTTTCTGGTAGCTGTGAGACTTTATCAGTTCTCAAAATGAAAACTGTAGTGCATATAAAGAAAACATTCCAGGCCATCAGAAGCCCCAGTTCCCATCTGGCTAATGTGAGGCTGGAGGGCATTAGAGGCCAAAGAGGTTGTATTGATGCAAAGGATGTGGAAAACAGAATAGGGCCCTGAAAAATTTAATTACATCTTTCCCCCATTTATTTTCTTCTTCAAAGGAGTCTAAGAAATACAATTCTCAATAGCTGCACAGGGTTTCTTTTTTTCTTTTGAATGTTGTGAAACTTTTATTAAAGTTTTACTCTGGGTGAGCAAGCCCAGGGATCCAGAAAGTTTCCAATGGGATCTTAGTCCGTGGAGCTTTTATCTCTGTTCCTGCTTTGTTTCTGGAAAGCTGAAACCACTCTGGCCTTGCTGCTACAGCTCCCTAAAGTTGGGTGGGTGATGGCAGAAGCACAGCAGATCTGTCCCATTCTGAAGACAGATTGGGCTCCAATTGCTTTCAGAGAACTCAGTAGCATGACACTGGAATGAAAAAAAAACCTCTTCTGATACAAACTTTAGTGTTCTAGTTAAATTCTCCATTCTTCTCCTCCCCCTTACGGGGAACTTAACACTTGAGCATAAAAACCAGGCCTTCTTGAGGGGCACAGGGCTCGACTCAGTTGCCTAAACGTGGGTGTCCACTGTCATTTGAGATACCCTACAGTATCCTCTGCCAGGCCTGCTGCAGCTGGTGGGGAGAGGCACAGCTCTGGCCCAGGCAGGGCTGGTGTCACAGCCCCAGGGGACGGCAGAGATCTCAGGTGGCAGGGGACAATTAGGCAACTTAATCAAGTCCCTTTCTAAAGGGCTAATTGAGAGGAGCAGCACCAATGACTGATGTAATGAGGGACTCTTCATTAGCATTACCAAGGGCTTAGTTAGGCAGGATCAGGAGCTTGTCTCCACACTCCCATGCTGTTGTTTTTCTACCCCATGTCAGGCACTTTGCCTCCACTCCTGCGGCCTGAAGCTGGCTCTGCCTGGTCCTTTCCTTAGGCCAGGATTAGCGGCTGCATCCCAGGCCCAGGGGAGCTGGGACAGGCCCAGGCAAGAGCAGGCGTCACTCCACTCAACCACAGGTTTTTCTGCCAGCCTTCCAACAGCCCCTTTCCAAAGCTTTTTCCTATTTGAGACAGAACCACAAACTCAGACACCATTTGCTGGCATCATCATTCAGGTGATTAAATACCTGTGTTTTTCTGTTAGTTCTTTCCTAATTAGGCTGAAATGCTTTCAGTATTTTAAGCATCCTAAGTCAGTCTGTTCCCATCTCAAGCACCTAGGTAGACTGGCAGCCAATACTATCTAAGCATCATCAACTTTACGATTGCTCATAGAAATGATTGTTTCAAGCTTATTTAGTCTTAACAGTTTGAATGTGGGAAGATTTTGGAGGAGGAGGAGTGACATTGTAAATATCTCTGACAAACATTGCTGCATCACACACACAAAAAAAAGGGGAGATACTTATAAAACTGCCTTAAAAATCAATTCCGAATGATGAATCTCCCTCCAAACAATAGAGCAAGGGATGAGTCACTTTGGGTGAATTCTGGCAAGGAGCGGTTGGAATCCAGTCCGGTTTCTGGAGCACAAGTGTAATTTAGGAGCTGATCTCTCACTCAGTCTGAATTCACATCAGCACCAAGGACTGAGCACTGCAGGATGCAAAGGGTTCAAGGTCTGGGGGTACTGTCTGTGCATGGTTTGGGTCTGGCCCAGCAGGTACTGCGTACCAGTGTCTCCCAGTGACTTCAGGGAAGATGGGGTTCCTCAGCACCTCTTAAGTTCAGGCCCTGGAGCACCATTTCCTGCTCTGATCATCAGCTATAAATGTTGATAAATATAAGTGTTTTGCCTTCATTTGAATTGCCCAGAGCTGTAAAATGACCTCTCTCAAGTATAAATCAGTCCAGATATAAACCTCCTCTCCTACTCTTCCCTACGCTCCCTGCCCACCTTCCCAGCCCTCCCTTGCACCTCCACCCAAGCCCTTCCCTGTCTCAATTCTTTACCTCCTTCCACACTTTTATATCTAGTTTTCATGAACCCACAGAAATGCTTTTGTAAATACTGCTGTACAGTTTGTAACCGTCATGTAAGCCTGTCATCAGTGCCAGAGTCCGTCTTGCCCTCTCGCACGTTTTAAAATCAACAGAGGAAAGTTAGAGCGAATGGCCCGCCAGTGAGCTATAGGGTCATCTCTGTGTGGGACAAATGTATATTCCTGTAAGATTGCATTTTTATCTAAGGAATGATGTTATTTTAAAATTGCTAATAAATTTCTAAACAATGTCCAGATTTGTTCAATATTGTAAATGGTATCAAAACTCCTTTGACATTGCCCCCTCCTACCAGCAGTGGCTGAAAATTAAAGACAGCTTCCTGCAGCCCCTTATTTCCCTGCTGCCATTCAGGGGCTCATGTCCCAATTTAAGGGGCTGCAGAACAGTCTGGACAGCCCCAGCCTGCCCCACTAAACAGCAGCTTAGGAAATCCAGCCGCTGTCTGCATTGCTGTCACCACAGAAACTCTGCCGTGTCACCATGTCCAACGTGTGACTCATGTGCGACCACACGCTTAATATTTTCTCTACTCGATTCCTTCTTACCAAGCACACGCAACAGAAAATGAATGCCCTCAGCTTAAATACAGTGTAATTAGTATATACATAAGCCATGAGGCTAATGGGATGATAACAAGTAGTGTTCCACACATTTGCTTGTCGATTGAGCAAATTTGTTCTACCACGGTTATCAGGAAATGACACCGCAATGCCAGCTGAGCACTGTGTTTGTGCTGCAGCATTATAAATCAGTGTGCTCAGCCCAAGCACCTCAGTCTAAGATTCAGTAAAATAATGCCTAAAGGAAAAAGAACGGGGGTTTTTTTTCAGTTATACGTGTATATATTTTTCCCTGACTTGCACACAACTGTCAGAATTGTGGGCTTTGCTGTTACTATTTAATCGTGGTGGCACAAAACGTTAAAAACCCAGGAGGTGAGGAAAACCTGTAGGTGTCATCAGTGCAGGGCAGGAGGCTCACCAAGAGAAACCTCATTATCTGCAGGCTCAGACTGCAGTTAGACATTTGCCACCACAAAACCATAGGAAACCACCGTGCTCTTGGTCAAAGCCCAGCAAAGGGCTCAGCTTTGCTGGAAAACTCCCTGAGCTGGCAACTCAAGAGACCATTAGGTGAAATCCATGGCAAAGAACAAGCTGAGTTACAGCTCTGTGCGAGGCCATTAGGTGAAATCCATGGCAAAGAACAAGTGAAGGTGGCTGTGGGCGTGCTGCAGTGTGAAAACAGTGCGAAACCTGGTGTGAAACCTGTGAGACAGCTGAAATGGGGTGAGCCTCAGGAACGAGTAAGAGGTTTGCAGAGTTCCCTGTGAAGTGGACACATTTAGAACAGCCCCAAAATTGGAAAAGCAGAGCATACACCTACAATGCTTTTTGCTCGGCAGCTGCAGAGCGCTGCTGATGTCAGTTTTTAATGCTCTCGGCATTGACCCGAAGCCAGAGACGAGCGCTGGCAGTTCCACCACAACAAAAGGAAGAACTTCTTTACAAGTAGGGTGGCAGAGCCCTGGACAGCTGCCCAGGGAGGCCGTGGAGTCTCCCCCTCCGGAGACATCCCGAACCCTCCCGGACACGTTCCTGTGTCACCCGCTCTGGGTGACTCTGCCCTGGCAGCGGTGTCGGAAGGGACGATGTGCACCGCTCCTTTCCAACCCCGGCGAGTCCGTGACGAGCACGCAGACCTCGGGACCCGCAAACAGGAAGACGACCCGCAGGTTTGGCTCTTTAACCCCAAGCTCAGCCCCGGACGGCGCTGCTCCCGGCGGGGAGGAGCCGCTGGGCGCTCCCCGGCCCGGCCCAGCCGCGGCCCCACACGGCGGGCGGGCCCCGCTCCGGCCCCTCCTCAGGTGCGGCCCCGCCCGGGCCCGGAAGCGCCGGGCGGCGGAGCGGGGGCGATGGCGGGCGCGGGGCCGCCGCTGCTGTTCCTCCTGCCGCTCCTGCTGCCCCGGCCGCCCGCCGCCGCGGCCCTGCGGCTGCTGCTGGACGCCGAGCCGCCCTTCACCTGCTCGCAGCCGGTAAGCGGCGCCGGGAGCGCCGGGCCCGGGCGGTGGGACGGGGAGCGGGGCCCGGGCGGTGCCGCCGTCCCCGGGAGCCCCGCACACCTGGCGGGGTTGCCCCGGCCGCGCTGGAAGCGCCCGCAGCCCCCGAGCAGGACGTGAGTCGGTGCTAAGAGCTGACGTTGCCCAATGTCCTAAAAGTTTTAACCGGTTCCTTGCAGGTTAGAGGGGGGTTTTTAGGAGTGCGCGGGGAAAGCGTTATATGTGCCTGAGGTTTTTGAACAGGCGGGTTTTGGTTGGTTTTCTGCCTGGGAAACCGGCCAGACGGGAGCTGCCGGTGCTGTGGCGCTGTAAAAAGTGAACCAAGCAACCTGAGTGAACTTTGAGTGTGAACTCTCTCTCTGGTGATTTTTGAGGATTTTTTTAATTTGTTTTGCTTTTTTTTTTTTTTTGGGTGGTGTTTTTTTTTTTTGAAGGAGTGTGTAGGAGGGGGAAGAGATCTGCTTTTGCTTTTTAATTCTGTT